GTACAAAAATGGGACATTTTTAAAGGAAAGTTAATATTTGTTGAGATTGGTGAAATATCCGTTAGCGAGGCAGGGTTAAGTACGAGGTTAGCTGAGTCGCTGTAGGGATGCCCACTCAGTGAAATGAAGTCATTTAGGCTCGACTGGATGCTACGCGGAAGAATTGTTGACTTATTGGATCTCTGAGACTCAAATATCTCTTTTGTTTATAGACGATGAGTGTGGCGGCATTTAGATGCAGCCTTCGGCTGTGTCGAGGTACTCAACCGGTGGACCAAGTGCGCAAGCAGAATCTGTGAATGGGGACACAAATTGTACCGAGATTTTGTCTGAGGCGGAATATGATCAAAAGCTTTATTTAGGAATTCCATTTAGTTACATTTTCTCTCAATTGATGCTGCTTTTAGGAGGCGTGCTATCCGTGAAATCTATTGGCAACTCGAGGGGTAGAGTATCTTAAAGCGCCACAGGTGCAGGTTCGATAAGTCTTTTTGAGTATTTTTATTTTGCAATTAGGAGTAACATATTTACATGGTGGATTTCATGTTTTGGAATTAATTTTTAAAGTAGCTGCAAAAAATTATGTAGCTGTGATTCAAACTTTTTACTATATACTTAGATGAAAGATGACCTTTACAGTGCTAAGTCAATACAATATTCATAGGATAACCGAGAAGAGGCGGAAGCATCTTGCTCTGATTTGATATTTATATATCTAACTTTGGCCTCCTTTAGGGGTTATTCTTTTCTCTAAGGTTTTAGTTGAGAGTCTTTTATATTATCGAGGGGAATCAAGGCCAGGATACTCCTACTGGTACCAAAAGATTATTAAATGACTGGATATATTTATTCATATTAGCCGAGAAAATATATACTTCGAAAAGAAATATTTTGTTTCCAAAAGTATATCATATTGAGTAAATTGATGAATGATTCTACTTAATTGATTGCTATATAATTTATTCTATATTAAAGAGCAGATAACACTTTTACCATTGCTGGGAATGTGTTAACATTTTCTGCTCTGATTAGGTCGTCGACACTAGTCATTCCGTTTTTTTTGTTTCCTGCCTCTCCTAAAAATCATTAAGTTTCAACAATGAATGTCGTCTTATCAGGCAGAACGAGTGAGACTTCACTTTTAGCCATATTATCCCATTTATTTCCTTATACTAATTGGATAGTAAATAGCTCTCTAATTTGCCATAAATTATCATAGCTGACTGCACTGAACATACTCTTGATGAGTATCTGATATCCTCACTTGGTGGAACTTCTGAAGTTGTGCCCAGAGCTCAGGCTGCTGGTGGTGCTGACGAATATTTCGCTAATACTGGCCTGTCTGCTGGAGGAGGTCTTACTGCTGCCTCGGGTACCAACAAGCCCTGGCCAAAGTCTCCGTCGAATGCCCCAATCACTATACGCGTCAGAGATGTTGTCAGTCCGCCCTTAGCCGACGAAAGACCTCAAACCGTGCACATTGTTTCATCAGTTCCTGCGCTACCGTCAGCTGTCGCAACGTCAACGCCTCCCGTCACTACTGTCGTCGGCGCCGACTGGAAAGCTAGACGTACGGCTCTTTCTCGCTTCCCGTCACTATTCTGGCCCGGTCTGACGGATCCAGCTCCTCGCTCCTACAAACGGCCTCATTCAGCGAGTATTCTCGCATATCCGGCAGAAGCTCCAGCCTCTTCTGGCAATCGATGGAAAGCATCAACAGCGAAAGACCAGTGCCAAGACGAGGTGGAAGATGAGGTGGAAGAGATGGTTTATCAAGGTGAGGAGGCCGGGGAAGCAGGGCCAGAGGTTCAAAGTTCTTGGTCCACTGAAACTGTTAGTCGCTGGATAGAGGTTATGGGTGGCTGAAACTATTGGGTTCAGCTTGAATATTGCATCAACTTGTTTAGCTTATTTTTGCCTCTATCATCTTGTCTCTTGGCGCCGTCTTTTTCTGGTTAATTTTATTCTTTTAATCGTAGATATGAAGACCAAGCTGGTGTGGCCTTTGGTTTGGTCGCAGTCTCCTTTAGCTTTATAGTATTGGTTCGACTTCGTTTTCGCAACTTAGCCGGAGCGTCAGGGAGACCTTGTGGAACGTACCTAGTCCTGCGTCCTCTGCCATAGTATCCGTGATTTCCAGCATCGGACCTTCGACTTGGTACATTCCCAAACCTTTATTCTTTTAATTATCTTTTCATCACAATCCACTTGTCTCGCCTAGTGAGCTCAATCACTTCCTTTCCTCCATGTAAATAGCAACAAAATTATTAAAGTATTATCTTCATTCTCCTGATGTCTTTCATCTCTTAACAAATCCTTATTTTCAAGCTTTAAACGCTCCGTCGCCTTACTTGGGCATTGGGGGTCGTATTTCTCCGTTCCTTATAGTCACCATATTTAATTTATATTTGTTGATTTTTGATGGCTTTGCCATGTGGCACACCAACTTAATATGGTTTATTTTTATCATTTTATCAACACACATATATTTCTGATTTTGAAAGAGTTATCAATTTTGTATAACACTTCTTTGCTATTCACTTTTTCGCTTGTGCCAACTATGATTTGGTCTTATATTGCCAAATTAGTTTTTCTACTAACTTTGTTATTTTTGTCGCAGCAGCCTCTTCTTCTCACATAACAATATGCTCCTTCTTTGTGAGTCCTAGGACTTAATCTGACCCTGCCAAACTGTAGCCTAGCAAAGTTACCTGCATCGGGGGCTGCCTTTTATCATTATCGTAATCTTTTCACTCCTACCGATTCATATTTCAATCGATAGGTCCTCTTGCTCTCTCTTTCATATCATTGTTATTTATGATTTAACTCTTCTTTTATATCTTTAACTGTTGCAAGTATACTCCAAGCTTAAGCTATACCTGCTTTACAATCCTGTTTGACCTCACTATTGTTTTGCTTGCCATCCCTTGTGCCAATACTTGGACAACATCATTTTGTTTATCACCTTGTTCAGTCTCCCTATGGTTGTTTAGCGCCACTCGGTCAATTTGATTCTTTTGCCCTGGTTATTTATTTTTCGATCCACTCCTAGATACAATTTGTATTTTTTTACAACTGATCAGCTTAGTGCATCATCTGATATTTGATTCACTTCTCCCACTGTGGCATAATAAAATGATTAATTTGCACCGGTTTTGTTTTTAATTTATACTTATTCGTTTTCTGTTCGCATTGTCTGATTTACGGTTTGCTCTTAGAATATATTTCATACATCAACTTTTATTTAGGCTAGACGCCTGATGTACCAATTCATTAATTTAGAGTGCAATCTTGTTCATAATTTCATTTTTGCCTCTTGTTATC